GTATCGACAGAGGCAGCGGGGAGACAGACCACTGTAGCCGGCATCAGCGGGGAAGAGAGACCGCTGTGACTGCCTCCACCCCATGTACCTCCGCAGCTGCCCCCGGTACTTCCGCTGCTACCCAGGTCCTTTTTTGCCCCGGCCCATTCCTCTGCTCACTCGACCACTCTGCCGCTCCCCCGGCCTGTTCCTCCGCTCGGTGTGTCCCTCCGGTCACCTGACGTGCTTGTCTTCTGCCCCACCCCATCCGTCATCTTCCTCTGCTGATTGACAGCAGGCAGTGGGCGGGTGCAATAGCCAGTCTACTATTGGTTATTGCATTTATTAAACTAAAATTAAAAAGACTGAAAAATTATGAACTGCAAAAAAAAATAAAAGTTTAATAAGCTAAAATAAAAAATAGAAATAAATTTGTTTTGGTGTTATTTTAAATATTATTGTTGTATGTTATTTTAAATAAAAGTTTGGTTATTTTATTATATTGACAGAGTTTTACAATTCATATTATTTTAAATCCATGAAACTAATTAAAATGTCTAATAAATACATACAATTATTTAATTTCAATTTCAATGCATCCCAAATGCACCTCCCCTTCACAGTGTGATCGCCCGCACTGGAATGTGCGGTACTGTAATGCCCTGCGTTCCAGTGCATTACGATTTCAAAAAATGTGCATTCCGTTATTCCCCAAATGCAACCTCATAGGGGCGGATTTATACCATTGCTTGTGGAATTGTGTGTTGGTATTTTCTTACTGGCAGAAGGTCATTGCACTGCTCGCTAAAGTCTTAGTGACTGAGCTGCCTACTGAGCTGTGGTTATGTTTATTCAGTTATTGGGAGCCTACCACACATCTTAACAGAACTAGGTTGTTATGACTACATATGTGTGTCTTAGTAGCTAGACGGGTGTTGATGAAGTTTTGGCTATCTCCCGACCCACCTCACCTGAACCATCCTTTAGAGCTGCTGAAAAAGATTGTGGCAGGAACGTCTAGAGGCTATCTTGGATAATGACCGCCAAGCAAAAAAGTTATTTGATATATGGAGACCTTTCATACTATTTCAATTTCAGGACGCTTTAATTCATGAGGTGGTTGTTCCCTTCAGATATTCTTTGTGGTATTTGGATATGGAGCTACAGGGCTCTTCAGGTCGTCTAGCTCTCCCCATATGAATCCACACTAACTCCCAAGATCAGAGGTATTTCATACTAGGCGATATGGTCCAGACTTTGTAACGCCTCACATGTTCCGAACATGCACTGGTCATGATTTTACGATATTCCCGAGTTCTAAGCTGATTATTCTAACTGCCTGGGAGCAAATAAAGGCTACTGGAATGGAATGCGCCACGTTCTCTCTCTTTTTTTTTTTCACTTGGCTGTGAATGTTCTTTTAATATGTGTTAAATGTTATCCCCTTAACTTTGTTCTTTAAATGGTCACTGCTCTAAGAGGTTGAGCAGCAAAAACTGGTGAGTCCCAGCTAAATTGTTCTGTATTTTTTACACTACATTACTCAACCATGACCAGGCCTTTTATACTACCTTGGGGGCAGGAGCTAATTAGGGAATATGGTTATGCAAGTAAGCACGCTTCTTAAGTAATAAACAGCAGAGATACATTAGCCTTCTGTGCTATTTTCATCTATAGGTTGTCATCTGCTCTCCTCTATTATATTTATTTAAGACTCATACCCTCTTACCTGGTCATGGCTTTGAGGTAGAATTTTTGTTCATATTGTTCAGTATAATTCAGACATTTTTATGTACACAAAAAAACAGAAAAAAAATTTCATCTTTGTCACCCATGGCTTTCATTGAAACTTTGCTTACGTTCAACACAATAAAATATTTTTGAGGGAAAAAAATTAGATTGAACTATTTATTCCAATCTCTGTCGTTTATGAATAAAATAAACAGGATCAGTCCCAGGACCAAACCCTAGGACACCCCACTCACAACTCTTGCCCTATTGGAAAATTACCTGTTTATTACTACCCTCTGGTTCCGATCATGCAGGCATATTATTTCCACCCATGTACATACAATTTCATCTAAACTGGACCATCTGGTCCTGGAGATTTGTTTACATTTAATATTTTCAGATTCTTTATTACGCTGACCTCTGACAGTCACTGAGATAAACCTTTTGTTTATTAGAGCCTTGATCATTAAGCCCGTCCGTCTCCTCTGTAAAGACAGAAGCAAAAATGTGTTTAACACATCAGCTTCCCTGTCACTGGTAGCTAACTTCCCTTTTTCATCCATCATGGGGCCTACATGTTCTGTCCTTACCCTCTTACTATTCATATATTTAAAGAATTTCTTGGGGTTTCTTTTCCTTTTGGTTGCTATGTGTTCTTCGTACTCTATTTTTGCAGCCCTGAATGCTCTATTGCATCTTTTGTTGCATCCCTTGTAGTAATTGAATGCTGATGGTGACCCCTCTGTCTTACATTTTTTTGAAGGCCATATCCTTTTCCTTTATATAACTTTTGATGTTTTGAATTTATTGGTAAATGGAATGCATTGGTAAATTTTACTAATTAAAGTTTCCTTGAAACATTCCTACTTGTCCTCGGTGTTCCCAATTTGTGTCACATAGCGGGTATCTCAGCTTATTAAACTTAGCCTTTTTAAAATTGAGTGTTCTTGTCATACCAACTTGTCTATGTTTCCTGGAGTTTACTGTGAACATTATCATTCTATGATCCCTGTTCCCCAGGTTATCCCCCATTTCCACATCTGTAATCAGCTCTGTGTTTGTAATTAATAAATTCAACAGTGCATTTTTTCTAGTTGGAGTTTCCACTGTTGCCCCATAAAATTATCTTGTATGTTGAAGAAGTGACGGGCCTTACTTGAGTGTGCGGTTTAATTTGCCTAATGAATATCAGAAAAGCTAGAGTTCCCCATATTTATGAAATTGCCTTGTCACCCCGCTATTTCTATTTGTGACAATAGTTGAGTCTCATCCTCCCCCCTTATGTTTAGAGGCCTGTAGCTAATCCCCGCCAGCAAGTTACCATTTTTTCATCCATTTCCATCTCTATCCATAATGATCCATCATTATTCCACATCTCATGAGCTATATCATCTTGCACATTCACTACCAGATTGTTCCTGATGCATAGTCATACTCCGCCCCCTCTGCTTCCTTCCCTATCCCTTCAAAATATTGGATATCCCCTGATATTTGCAGCCTAGTCATGCGAGCATCCAGCCAGGTTTACGATAATCCCAAAAGATTACACTCCTCTTTGAGTAGTAAAAGTTCCAATTCCTCTATTTTCTTTGGCAAACGTCTAGCATTTGTGAACATGCATTTACATTTTTTAGTAGTGCTTAGAATTTTCTTGTTCTTAAGCTATTGCTTGTCTCAGAACTTTGTGCATTTGATTCTGATATTATAGATTCCCTGTTCACTACTGAGGTAGCCACATTTTCGCCTTTTCCACTATACTATTTGACGTATTTGATCTCAGCTTGATCTCCTGGCTTAATCCTATTTGATTCCACCCTCCAAGGTTCTAGTTTAAAAGGTCCTCTAAACTTTTTACCATTTTCTCCCCCAGCAGAGCTGCACCCTCCCAATGTAGGTGCAGTCCATCCCTGCTGTAGAGGAGGCAGCCGGCTGAAAAGTCAGACCGGTTCTCCAAAAACCCAAACCCTTCCTTTTCTACCCCAGTTTTTCAGCCACTTGTTCAGATCTCCTGACTCCCGCTGCCTCTCTGGTGTGGCTCGTTGTACAGAAAGTATTTCAGAGAATACCACCTTAGAGGTCATTTTCTTTGTCTCACCTATGTCCCTGAAATCTTTCTTTAGGACACTCCATCTTCCCTTGATTTTGTCATTGGTACCAACGTGTACCATTACAGCTGGTTCTTACCCAGCCCCACCAATTTGATCCGCAATAAAACTATGTTACAGGTAGAACTCAGGAAAAACAAAAACTCTTATGTTGACATGGACCTTTAAGGTGAAACATAAGGTCTGCTTTTTTGCATGCCCTCTGTTCAGCAAAACAAATGGGTTTAAAAAGCCATTTGCAAACAAACAGTCTGACAAAAAAATATATATATACCTCAGCCTTGGCCTCTGACACTTCTGGGAGGCCAGTGATACATCACTGTGCCTTCCTGCACAGCTGGGGCTCTAAATTCGAAAAAAAATGCACTCTAGCCCATTGCAAGAGTGCATTATCATGGAAATTCGAGTGCCCAGCTATCCCAGTATGCAGTAGGTGACATGTAAGTATTTTTGTTGTTGTTGTAAGATTCTGTTTAGAAATGGATTTTCAAATCCATTTGTGTTGGGGATAATGTGCCTTGGAAAAAAGTGGACCTTCCATTTGCCTTAGAAGGTCCACTTTAAAGTAGTATCAAACTTTTTTACAATGATGAATCCAGACCAAACATATATGCATCACCCAGCAAAGTATTTATTTACATTTTATTCCAAGCACTTACAGTCATCATGTTTCCAACACCTGGCTCCAACTATTTTACCTCTACTTCCCTAAATCTCCTGTCAAGTTCAAGATCACATGGGACTGCACAGTCTCCAGCAGCTGTCCATCTACTAGCTTGAGAAAGGAGGAGCTAGAAGCGAGAAGGAAGGAGGTGTGAGGAGGAGGGGAGTGGCTAGCTTGCTGTGCCTGTGTGTTTGAGGAGACACACAGCTTACTAGCACACACAAGGGTGGTTCCATAGAACCCTGGAAGAGAAGGGAGCCACCCTAAAACAGGATACCAGGGCCAGTGGATATAGGACCAGCTGATTTTGCAGGAAGCTAAAATGTTTTAATATCAAGAAGCAGAATCCATTGCGTTGATTTAATCAACATCTAAAATAGCTTAAAAGCCTTTTGACTTAAATATCACTTTAAAGCGGGTGACAGACTTCAGCATATATGTATTTTATTATTTTGCTCATAGTTTTACTTTAAGTAAATTACTTTCTATTCAGATGCATCAAGAAAGGAGTATATACTTACTTTCGAGGGAAATCCACCAGCATTATCATTACCAAGACAGTCAGGAAATCAAAGATCAAGAGCTTATACATCTCCCGTCCCACACGAGTCTCCCAGCACTGCAAGAGATGACACTGCATTAGTTACATAACTCTACCTAAAAGGGTTTTAGATACTAATTTCTAATGACTTTAGAAGTGCACCTACACTTAGTCAGACCAAAACACAGAAATTATGTAATGATTTTTGTCAGGTGCTGAGTTTTCAAATAACTCTGACTGAACTGGTGGTTGTTGAAAGCCTTTTAAGGATAAGGATATTATGCAGGGATTCGGGCATGGTGCTGTGAAATTGCTGCCCGAGAGAAGAGCCACAGCTTTCACAAAATCTCCGTGGCTCACTGTGTTGAGTATGAATAACGATTCCCCTCTCTCAGGACAGTACTGACCCCCCAACAGTGGTGATGCACCAGGACAACCACAGAAGATGGAAACCTTGCAAGCTCACAGACTTCTTTTCTTTCTCAAAGTAGACAGATCAGGCTGCTTCTCAAGATGCACTAGCATCAGAAAGTGTCATTAAAGACAAGTTACTATTGCTCAAATGCTCTTTATAACTGGATTTAATTAAGATTAGTACACTACACATATTTAAGGTCAAATTGAGCAGCAGGGAGACCGCACAGTTCACATAGAGAGAAAGATGGGGGATATCATCACAGCACATAATGAGCGTGTGGATTCTTGCACTGAGCAATTGGATGAGCTTAAAAACAGCTGAAAGACAAGACTGTGGACATAGAAGATACATCCTGCAGAAAAAAATATAAAAATCACCTAAGCTCCTGAATCAATGACACAAGCTGAACTGGTACACTTGCGCAAATGTTTAAGTTCAGGATTTTATTATAGACACAACATACAGTATTCCAAAACCTAAACACTTGCCAGACATAGTGCTCAGGGATATCTTAGCGAGAGTTAACTTTTATGTTAAACAGCGGTCAATGGCAGCAACAAGAAAGGTGGGCTCACTTCCATACCCCTACACTTCTGTGATCCTCTTTGCAGATATTTTAGCAGAAACTGCACAAAATTGCTTGTTACATACAGGAGACACACTTCATGCAATAATGTTCCCTGAAAAAGGAATATCATTAATTATGTTCGTGAGGTATGACAACTGCAAAAGCACCTCCTTCGGCCCAGTCAGCTCATCAACTACATGTTACCTGTGACTGCTCCTAATGCTGTAAGGCTTTGTTTATTAAAGTGATATTTAATTCAAAAGTATTTTATGCTATTTCTAATGTGTTTATGCAATTTCAAATGTTGATTACATCACTTACAATGGATGATACTACTTTATGTTTTAAAGTTTACTCTTCTGCAGAATCAGCTGGTCCCTTGAGTGCTGGTCCTTTTTTAGGGTGGCTCCTTTGTGAGGTCCTATGGAGCCACCTTTGTGGTGCCAGTAAGCTTTGTGTCTCTCAACAAACATACAGACAGCAAGGCAAACTATTTCCCTTCTCCATGCTCCCCTCCTCCTTCCTCTCTTCTCAAAGTTAGTAGATGGATGGCTGCTAGAGAGTGTGCTGTCCCTTGTAATCTTGAACTGGACAGGAAGTTCAGAGAAGCAGAGCTGAAAGAGTTAGAGCCAGCAGTTTGAAAACATGATGACTGTAAGTGCTTGGGCAGAAATTTAAGGAAATACTTTGCTGGGCAATGTACAGTAATACCTTGGTTTACAAGTAACTTGGTTTGAGAGTGTTTAGCAAGACAAGCAAACATTTCTGAAAAAATTTGCCTAGATATACAAGCAATGTCTTGCAATAAGAGCAAAATGTTGTAGAAAAGCACCACCGGAATAAGGCTGTAGCAGTGCGAGCGATGAGTCTGTTTAACGACAATGCAATGTCACATTGGATAGATTCCTTGTTAAGGTTTCACGAAATGAAAAAGATTCCATTGAGTCAAGAGATAGCAGTGATTCCGTTAGTGATAGTGAAAGTTGTCCTACACAATAATCCTCCTCTCTCTCGTCCCCCTCACACCAGCCACGAAGGTACCGGTAATTGGTTTATTTTTCTTTATATTTTGTACGGTATTATATTACAGTACAGTATTGTAATCATTTTTATATGAATATTTTTGGTTGTGGAACGAATCATCTGAATTTCCATTATTTCCAATGGGGAAATTCGCTTTGATATACAAGCGCTTTGGATTACAAGGATGCTTCCGGAAAGGAATTATGCTCGTAAACCATCTGGATTCATTAATGAAATTTTTGTGTGAGTTTAATACTACTTTAATTATTTCTTTTTCTGTCCTGCACAATTTCAGGTTGTGCAGACTAGCCCACCAGACAATAGAGGCTGCATAAACAAGCTGGTCTAAGGTGTACCCAGTGAGACAGTTAATTAACTACCTCGAAGGGTATCATTTTCTCATGTTGTTCAAAATTGTATTATTGTTTCTAATCTTTTGGTTCAGACACATACAGTATTGCAACCATGGGAGAACACATTATTCTTACTATATGTGTGGCAGTAGGCCTCAACATTTCCTCTGGTACTGTTACATTCCTGCCTCATCCTGTCAATATAGCTTATGTCTAGATTTATTATGGCAATAACATGACTCCATTAAATTAAACATCTAATGTGGAAACAGGCATTGACGCAAGGGTGCGATTTCATGTGCATTGAAGAAACACATTTCCAAAATATTAAATCCATCCTTCCCAAATTCTCCCACATTATTACAGCTTCTGCTAAAAAGAAAACAAAAATGGACGCTGCTTGAGAGAGCTCCGTGCAGCATCGTGCCCTGAGGCTACCAAAAGCTACACCCAGCAGATTGCCAGACATCCCCGGGCTATACCGTATCCCCTGCACCCGGCGGAGATGTCAAAGAAAAAAAACCCGGCTCCCGGCGTAAAATGTTCAAAAAACTGTCTGACCTTAGACAGGGCTCCGTGATAATATGTGGTGACTTCAATATGGTTATGGATGCGTGCCTGGATTCTTCAAATCCTTCCAAACGACACTCACCAGATATGCAACGACTTATGTCTGAGGAATCCTTGTTTGATGTATGGCGATGTCTACATGCATCAGAAAGAGACTACACTTTTTTCTCAACCCCACACAACTCTTATTCTAGAATTGATTTTATTTTTGTGGAAAGACAACTATTGACACGGATTCATGATTCTAAAATTCACCACATTTCGTGGTTGGATCATGCGCCAGTGTCAATCTCTATCTCTGATAGCTCCGTATGTCCTAATATATGTCCTAGAATAATACAATGTCTATATGTGGCGTAATAATGTGTCCCAAATGCTTTTTCCTCCCAACAAACAGTTGATTGAAAAAGCAATGAAAGAGTTTTTTTATATTAATACCTCCTCTGTTGAAGATGTATATTGTTTATGGAATGCCCATAAAGCTGTTATCAGAGGACTCCTGATGCAAATCGGAGCTCGCACGAAAAGGCAGAGGGCCAGCCACCTCGCACACCTGCTCTCTCAAATTCGCACATTAGAAGTCCAAAACAAATCACACCCCTCCCTAAATACCTCCACAGCCATAGGTAAACTAAGAGCAGACCTTAGATTATTTCTCTTAGAACAGCATGACAACCAACTCTCTCGCTACAAAGCTAACTTTTATTCCAATGGCAGTAGAGCAGGGAAACTCCTAGCGAACCGTCTCAAATCCCAACGAGGGCGAACTAAAATCCCCTACATAATCCATCCAAAAACTAAGAAAAAGGTATGGCACCCACAAGAGATAGCTGACGCTTTCAGCTCCTACTATAGTGATCTCTATAACCTTAAAGACGACCAAAAAACTCCCCAACCCTCGGATGCAACTGTCCTTAACTTCCTGAATAAAATCTGCCTACCTACACTAACTGACGACCAACTTAACAACCTCAATACGCCCATCACAGCACAAGAAATCCAAAGCGCTATTAAATCTTTACGTACCAACAAAGCGCCCGGGCCAGATGGCTTCACTAGCGAATACTACCAAACCTTTGATCATATCGTCTTGCCCTACCTAACGCAGGTGTGCGAAAAGGCCTCCACCTCTGCCTTTTTTCCCCCCGAAAATGTTGACTGCTACCATTGTGACAATACCAAAACCGGGGAAAACTCCTGACTGTCCCCAGAACTTTCGCCCCATTTCACTTTTGAATACTGACTTAAAATTGTATGCCAAGATCTTAGCTAATAGGATAAACAAGGTTCTCCCCTCGATCCACCCAGACCAATCAGGTTTTGTTAAGGGTAGAGGTGCGCCAGATGCCACACGTCGCATTCTCAATATAATTCATCATGCCCATAGCTCCAAGACACCCTCTCTGCTTCTTGCTTTAGACGCAGAAAAAGCTTTCGATAGGGTGCACTGGGGCTATATGCAACATGTCTTATATAAGTTTGGCTTCTCAGGCTGGAAAATATCCGCCATTATGGCACTATATTCAACACCCTCTGCTCAAGTGTTTACATCGGACGCTGTATCTAAACCCTTTAATATAACCAATGGCACTAGACAAGGATGCCCTCTCTCCCCGTTGATATTTAACATGACCATAGAACCCCTAGCAGAAACCATTAGATCCCATACTCAGATCTCAGGCTTCCACTTCAACCAGCACCAACACAGGATTAGTCTCTTTGCAGATGATATTCTACTTCTCCTTTCCAACCCAGAAACCTCTCTGGCTGCAGTATCCACAGTATTAGATTCCTTTAGCGCAGTGTCATACTACAAAGCTAATAGCTCGAAATCTCAAATTCTAGACCTAGGTCTTCCAACTGCCAGTAAGATGATTCTACAATCACAATTCCCATATCAGTGGAACCCCACAGGCCTCTCATACCTGGGCACTACACTTACAAACTCTATCTCCATGATATTCGATCATAATTACGTACCCTTCTTAACCCAACTGCGAACCCTACTAAACAACCTCCATAGGGACACCTTGTCTTGGTCAGCAAGATTAGCCACCTTTAAAATTATTGCGCTTCCTCAACTTCTTTATCGCTATAGAACTTTGCCAATCCCCATCCCAATTAGCTACTTTATTAAAATGATTGC